ACTTCAAAGAAGCTACATTAGCTTACTTTGTTTGTTGTTTAACGCCGCACTCAGCAATATTTCAGCTGCCTGTTAATAATCAAGTCTGATCCAGACAACCCAGTGATCAACAGCACGAGCAGCGTACATTAACTAATGGTTCTGGGTAGTTAACGCAATGGAGTTGACATTTAAAGAATAAATATTCAAAATTACTGTGTGGTTACAGTAATTTGTCATCTTTTTTCGGGTAGATGGTCCGGTTTCGCTTCCCCATGTGTGTGGGGCGGTATCCTCCCAAAACTTCCACATCCCAAAACTTCCACAGCCTATAACAACAACATTTCTGGTTGACTGCACACTCTTTGGCATACTGATTACCTCTGTCTGTAATGGTTTAGCGTGGTTTTGGCATAGAACCGTGTGGGGCAACTAACGGGAACAGGCTCGCAGACTTAATTGGTTGATGTTTTCACAAGATTGTCTGTCCCAGACTTGATTAGTTACAGACCACCGTCAAATTGCTGAGTGTGGCGTTAAACAATATACAAAACAACAAACAATGAACAGCTAAACATCGTTTGTGATAACATTATCATGGAGGGACAAACACAGTAGTCCAGCCAGGAGATGCTTGATAATTTAATCACAATATCGGGAAGAAAATGCAGTTTATGTTAACATTCACACTGTCGGTAAATGTATGGAAAGTGTACAACAGGGGATATGTTAATTGGTTTATAAAAAATTTCTGTATCTAGTTTCGCGTTATTAAAGTTATTAAACAAGAAACAGACAAAAAGACAAACAAAAAAGGAAGGATAACAAAAAATGTATGGAACAGAATGACGATAGAGAGGCATGTACATGTATACAAGTGTGAGAAGTCTATCGTCATTCTGTTCATCACTTGCGTGATAACGGTGTTAGAAACGTCGCTCTCACTGTTGTAAAGAAGTTGTTCATCTATATAGTGTTATGCTTCCTTACTGCTCCAATTTCTAAATACTTTTCAAAGCAGTTACACCAACAAACAATCTAACAGGACATGCCAGGGGGTACCCTATTTATACATTATGTCTAGCTGTGACAACGAGTATTGATAAATATGCTGAGGTAGGTGTTACTTCAGTGTTAACTATCAACATGCATGGCGTCGCCCCGTTTTATCACCTTGGACCAGATATTGTAACAGTAGAGCACCATTCAAGTAAGATGTCACTCTCTGTTCAGATCGATGTTGTTATCGTTAACTTACCATGTTGTTATCTAAGGCACCCCCGTTTGACAACTCTTTAGTTGTCAAATTGACAACGTTTTATTTACAGTGCACCACCAATCCCAGGTATGAATATGACTATCTGTAGTCTGTCTCACAGACATTGAACCACAACATTTCCTTTCTGCTCAACCCGTTCTGAAATAATAAAGCCCTTAATGAAGCAAAACTAGATTCAATTTAAAGGGAATTATTTGTTTCTATCAAAATTATGTATATTCAGAAACTACGCGTTAGTCTAGTCTGCCTCCCACCAGGCAATTTCGCGTATAGATATTGGAATTTATTACTTGAATCCTGCAGCATGTGAGTAGGCATTTTGACGGGATATGGGTTCAACGGGGGGATTTATTTATTGTTATGTTTGTATACTCCATGATGATGAATTTCCGTATCTGGAGAGACAGGTCTCTCAAGAATAACAGCTCGGGATACTACGCCAAACCATGTGTATGTTTTCTTTACCGGAACATTTCTGAAATACACAACAACCTGTGTCAGTTGGAACTATTGCTCATTGCCTGTGGTCACTGTCTGACAGGGGCGGTGGGGTAGCCTAGTGGTTAAAGCGTTCGCTCGTCACGCCGAAAACCCGGGTTCGATTCCCCACATGGTCACTGTCTGACAGGGGCGGTGGGGTAGCCTAGTGGTTAAAGCGTTCGCTCGTCACGCCGAAAACCCGGGTTCGATTCCCCACATGGTCACTGTCTGACAGGGGCGGTGGGGTAGCCTAGTGGTTAAAGCGTTCGCTCGTCACGCCGAAAACCCGGGTTCGATTCTTCACATGGGCACAATGTGTGAAGCCCATTTCTGGTGTCCCCCGCCGTAATATTGCTGGAATATTGCAAAAAGCGGCGTAAAACCAAACTCACTCACTCACTCACTGTCTGACACTAATCAGTGACCTTGTGAGGTAACATATCTTTTAGCACTTTCCAGGAAAACGTATGTGCTCTTTTGGACCACAGATTCTTTAAATGATAGCATATTTAACATATGTTATCCCGCTTATATGCTTGGGGGGTTGGGGGGAGGGGTGGAAATCCTGTATTGTCCTGTATTAGACTCAACGAGTCTCCCTATATACAGTGTATATTGTTATACCGAATATATACCACAATACATTTACCTCACAAAGGCTCCCTATATACAGTGTATATTGTTATACCGAATATATACCACAATACATTTACCTCACAAAGGCTCCCTAAGTGCAGCGTTTATATTTATACCGGATATTTAACACGATGTATTTAACTCACAAAGCCTCCCTAAATACGTTAATTCCATACACAGGATATTTACCACAATGTATTTAGCTCACAAAGCCTCCCTTGATATGTTTGTTCCCCACACAGAATATTTACCACGATGTATTTAGCTCACAAAGCCTCCCTTGATATGTGTATTCCCCACACAGGATATTTACCACGATGTATTTAGCTCACAAAGCCTCCCTTGATATGTGTTCCCCACACAGGATATTTACCACGATGTATTTAGCTCACAAAGTCTCCCTTCATATGTTTATTCCCCACACAGGATATTTACCACGATGTATTTAGCTCACAAAGCCCCCTTCATATGTGTATTCCCAACACAGGATATTTACCACGATGTATTTAGCTCACAAAGCCTCCCCGAATACAGTGTATATTCCCCACACAGAATGTTTACCACGATGTATTTAACTCACAAATTAACGCCCTCTCGAATACAATATACATCATATATATTCCCCACACAGTATATTTACTTTCCCAACCACACACGAGTGATATTTATCCCCGACAGCAGCATCCGGGCGCAAGTCTGATATACCAGCTGTGTGTATAATCGTTGCTGAGCTGCTGCGTTTTACCTGTACGCTGTGTTATGGCATATATATACCACTCGCAACAAGTTAAGGAACATCCGCAATTGGAAGGCTGTGCGTGGCAATACCCACCCGCTTTGACATGTTAACTATTACGCATATGAATAAATCCCATGTTCTTCACCACCTCTGAGTAATGTATGCTCGAACTACGAAGTATTATATACTAAGCAGCAAAAGAAACGTCAGTTTGGAATTTTCCTTCGCAGAAACGGATAACTGTAAACTCATTTATTGTTTTGATTGTATATTTTTTTGACAACATCTCTAACTTTACCTGAGCAAAGACATTCCTTCCCAATGGAACCCAGGAATGGTCTCAAAAAACGCAACCTGATCTCGGAGATGGTACGGTGTTCTCCACGTTTGTCATGCAACTAATGCTGCACGTGCTGTTCACAAGGACCAGCCCTATAAATTCACCCCCCAAACCTGGTTGAAACATTCACATTCCAACGTCAGCAGGATGCCGCGACTCACGACAGCTCAGAGGGACCAGGCGCTAGGAAGACTTGAACCTGGCCATACTGCACAAGCCGTTGTCAATCATTTTCAGGTCAACGTTCAGACCATCTACAGGCTGCAGCAACGTTTCCGGGCCACCAACACCACAAATGATCGCCCCCGTACTGGCAGACCAAGGGTGACCACAAGACGACAAGACGGCCATGTTGTGCGACAGCATGTGCAGTATCCCTTCATGCAAGCATCCGAAACAGCACACCAGACAGTGGGAACACACGGAAAACCAATCAGTACTGTGAACGTCTACAGTTTGCCCGACAACACCAAAACTGGCGATACAGGCAATGGAGAACTGTTCTGTTCACATATGAGAGTTGGTACTGCGTATCAACTGCAGATGGCAGAACAAGAATATGGCGACGACGTGGTCAGCGTTACCCAGACCAAGGTGTTATGCAAAGAGACTCATGGGAAGGTGCAAGCATCATAGTATGGCGCGGAATAGGCCTGAACCGGAGAGTGGGTCCCGTGGTGTTCCAGAACCTTGGTCCAGGGAGAGGAGGCGGCATCACAGCGGTGCGCTCATCGACCAAGCTCTCAGACCCAACGTCATACCACTTTTCGCACGTCACCGGAACAACATTTTCCAGCATGATACATGTAAATCCCGGGCCCATACTGCCAGAGCTACACGGGACTTCCTACAGCAGAACGGTGTCCACATTATGCAGTGACCAGCCCTTACTCCTGATTTAAAACCCAATCTAACATCTTTAGGATGAAATTCAGAGGAGACTGAATAATGCCATACCAAGGCCGAACACAGCCGATTTTTTTGCGCCTGGCCGTTCTCAGAGTGTGGTTCCAGGTGCCACTAGCCTTCATCAATCGATTGGTGCACTCCATGCATAGACGCTGTGTTGCAGTTATTGCCGCTCGTGGTGGTCACACTAGAGTTATTCATTGTTGTGTCAAAATATTGTACACAAAAAAATGTTTTTGATCCGCTTATTATGTCCTTTTCTGTAATGATTTTGAATTCGTACTGACGTTTTTTTGCTGCTGAGTATATAGAATAGATATACGTAATATATCTTCACATGATTTACATTCAAGGATTTTCAAATCATTGTTTCAACGTGGTATATGGACCTTGGTTTTTCAATCACTCAAACTGAATGAACCTGACCAAACGAAATGTCCATGGTCGTCTTTGCTTCAAGTTTGACTAAAGACCAGTGAAGGTATGTACTGGACTAAGCCAGCTGATCACAAACCCTGACGGATTAAGTACTCTAAAGCTGAAAAATGTCCCACTCTAAAATCTGTAGTTTTGCGCAATGGTGTATACTGTTCGAAAGAAGTTAAGGAACTAAGATTTTTTTTAACATTACTGTAGTTAATGTCTCTTGCCATTTCAGTAACCATGCGAGGCCGACATCGACCGTCCCTCGTGGTGGGTCTCCTGACATTCCTCGGGACGCTGACAGTGTCGTCTGCTCGAGCCGTCTGCGATCATAAGATCCAATTTATGACGTTCAACGCTGACCTGAGTACTCAAGTCCCGCATTATGAGAGGAGGAGAAAGCTCATCCCATTGGCTCTCGTGGAGACAAAGGCTGACGTCATCTGCCTCCAGGGCATATGGTGAGTTAGTGAGTGAATTTACTTTCATCTGGAACTATCACATGTACATTACACTACTGTTTGAACGAACTCAAAGGGACCGCTAATTTTAGATCGTCATAACCGCACATCATTCACATTTCGACTAGAATATACTGCAAACGACAGGGATACAAAACCCAACGGTTACATATATTCATCATTTCGTTATAGGTTAGACTACAGCTTCGTGTTCTGAAAATATATAATTCTGATAGTAACAAATAATCCCATTTAAATTGGAATGGATCCCCAGTGAGATGGTAGATTCAGAGCCTGGGGAAAGCTGCAGTGATAGAGCCTGATGGAAATCAATTCGGGCTTTAGCATTGTAGGAAGGACTGGGCTGGAAACATGATACGGTTCTGGGACGGTAAGACTGTGAGTTATAGGTGTATAGTTCTGGGAGCAGGCAAACCAGAGGCTTAGAACATCATGAGAATCCTTTGACAGGATGACGACAGGCTAGGATCCTGACTAAGATGGAGAAATAATATACTGCTCACAGACAGTTGATGACTTCCCGATGGCATAATGGATTGACTATAATACTAACTGACTGACTGAGTTTGGTTTTACGCCGCTTTTAGCAATGTTCCAGCAACATCACGGCGGGGGACACCAGAAATGGGCTTCACACATTGTACCCATGTGGGGAATCAAACCCGGGTCTTCGGCGATGGCATAATGGATCGACTATAATAATGCGAGAGAACCTAGTGGTCCTTTACTGCTTTTGAGTACCTCAAAAAGTCTTTATTCTCAAGTTGGTGAATTACGGAGGTTACTGATCTCCTTCCTCGCGCATATCGACTGAAATTCACCAACTGGATGTTGAAGATTATTTGTATTGTTATTATAGATGTACGATTCTTACTTTTACGCCTTCGTCGTATCTCAGTTGCGTAGATCGGTGATCATGATGTTGATCACTGGATTGTCTGGTTCAGACTGGATTATTTATAGACCTCCGCCATATAGCTGTAATATTGCTGTTTGCGTGTGTATTGTTATTATAGATGTTCGATTCTTACTTTTACGCCGTTGTCGTATCTCACTCAGCTGCGTAGATCGATGCGCATGATGTTGATCACTGGATTGTCTGGTTCAGACCCAATTTTTTTCAGAACGCTGCCATATAGCTGGAATATTGCTGTGTGCGTGTGTATTGTTATTATAGATGTACGATTCTTACTTTTACGCCTTCGTCGTATCTCAGTTGCGTAGATCGGTGATCATGATGTTGATCACTGGATTGTCTGCTTCAGAGTGGATTATTTATAGAACGCTGTCATACAGCTGGAATATTGCTGTGTGCACTGTTAAACAACAAACAAACAAAACTTGCAAACACAAATTTGCAGTATGTATACACAACCCACTTGTTTACTTGAGTAGTACTTATATTATCCCTTAAAAACCAGAGTGTTCAATTTTCCCCCATTTATATATTCATAAAAGTCTAATTGAGTGAGTGAATGGGTTTAACACATCTTTGAGCATAATTGTCTAAGTTATGGCCATTCCGTGTCCATGTGAAGAATTGCAAATCACTCATTGTGGCTCCGTCAACATTATCATACCGTCAGCATACATTCAGCGTCATGAAGTCGCTATATGGGTCCAACCGCCCCGATGCGACATTAAATTTTAACTCACTCACTCAGCGGGTCGGTGGAGGTAGCCTAGTGGTTAAAGCGTTTGCTTCACGCCGAATACCCGGATTCGATTTCCTCATGGGTACAATGTGTGAAGCCCATTTCTGGTGTTCCCTGCAATGATAGTGCTGGAATATTGCAAAAAGCAGCGTAAAACTAAACTCACTCACTCAATCAGCATCACCATATATGGCCCACTGCTTTCAGGAAAGGATCGGACGTTGACCGGATCTCGACAGCTGTGAAAGACGTCTTCCCCCACTCCTTTAGCAACGTGCACTACACCGTGGGGAGAGTCAGTCGGAAGTGAAGAAGATGGTGATCTGGGGCATGCTGGAGAAGTACTTTCCCATGCTGAGGACGGAACCCTGCAAAGTCCTGGAGGCCGTCCCAATGGGCTACTGTCTGCTGTTCAGCTGTCAACGTCAGTCGGGGACCCAGCTAATGCAGTGCATGGCGGCCCACTGCGCCCGCTACATCAACGACATCAGCCCTGTATGCATAGCATGCATAGTCCGGCGTCCGAACACCCCAAAGTACGAGTCCGAGTGTGGCGAAGCTGTAGCGTTGCCAGGGATGAGTGCGAGGATGAATAACCACGGGTTGCTGTTGCTGAGCAAGTTGAACATCACGGGGACGACCATGGTGCGGCAGCAGACGGGGAATCACGGATATCTGAAAATGGAGGTGGGAACACTGATGTTTCTGGAATCATTTGGTTGAAACTAATCCAATATTGGTGCCTGTGGACAAGAAGACGGGTTGAAGAGGAACATTTTTGGGGATAGGTCTACAACTTCGTTATTGCAATATGATGACGTTTCGGTGTAGATGCTGGCACCGTTATCAAGCGCCGCATCTATTGCAATAAAGAAGTTGTGTATCCCTAAAAATTGTTCCTCTTCACCAGAGACAATCTATTATATATATGTATTGACATCTGTCTTCACCAGCTTTTGAATTTCACGCAAAGAAGTAAGACATGTGTTTGTTTACGCTGCACGCAGCAGATGTCTTGCTATAATTGTCCAGCTTTTATGAAAGTGCTCAAATGCTTTCTCAGTTAAGTACAGATTCTCATACTCATATTGGTTTGGACCCGTACTCTCAGACTAAGGCACCGAGTCAGCGATGTAGCCCGAGGTCGCAGATCTGCTGCAGATGTATGTGAATATGTTGCATCTGTTTATACTTCTAATTTTGATTGTTTTTCTTTCGTATGATTTGTCAGATTCAGGATGTCGGTAGTGTTGTTTGTGCGCATCTACACGCCAGTGATGAACTTCCGGGCGTAGAAGGTAGGCTGTTGAATTACAAATGGCGGCTGCATTAATGTGACCTTGACCTTTGAAGCTATGTATTTTTATTGGACTTGGAAGACTCGTTAATCCAGCAAAACCATAACTCCATAATTCCAGCCTTGTTCCGTAAGTGGAAACTGGACTTATATGCACTCAGTTAATTCCCTTGTCTCGAGACATATCATTATATTCTTGTGTGTGTGTTGTTTAACGCTACACTCAGCAATTTCCAGCTGTATGACGGCGGTCTATAAAACCGAGTCTGGACCACACAATCCAGTGATTTAAATCATGAGCACTAATATGAGGTATGAGTCAGTGAGTGAGTTTAGTTTTACGCCGCACTCAGCAATATTCCAGCTATATGGCGGCGGTCTGTAAATAATCGAATCTGGACCAGACAATACAGTGATCAACAGCATGAGCATCGATCTACACAGTTGGGATACGATGGCATGTGTCAACTGGGTAAACTACACTGTTGTAACTAATCAAGTGACATCACACGTAAATTACCACTACCACAGGTGTACTACCACTACCACAGCTACTGACACCACTACCACAACTACAACCACTACCACCACTGCAACCACTACCATAGGTAATCTGATGCTATTTAGGGGGCGTTGGGTAGCCCAATGGTTAAATATTGCATTAAAACTAAACTCACTCACTCACTCACTCACTTCAACCACTACCATAGCTCGTCATGCCGAACACCCGGGTTCGATTCAACACATGGGTACAATGTGTAAAGCCCATTTCTGGTGTCCCCCGCCGTGATATTGCTGGAATATTGCTAAAAGCGGCGTAAAACCAAACTCATTCATACGTAATTAAATAATAACTTCATCCTTTAGACCAGAGTATGAAGAGGATTTCAAACTTTTTCACTGTTGGTTTCAGATTGCGGAGAGAAGGTCGCCAACCCGAACCGCGCCTATGACAACCTGATGGGAGTGTATCATCTCGCGTCGTCAGGAGACACGAAAAACCACGTGATTATGGGAGACTTGAATACCAGCCCACAGTTACCGTGGAACATTGACTCGCTGTTTGGGGCGAGTTACGCGGCCCTCATCTATGGTGGCTTTTCTATTCCTTACGTAGAACACATTGGTCACTGTACTTACTGCGCAGACAACCAACTCGTCCGCAGCATGGGCTACAACAAGAGTCATATCCTTGACCACGTACTGACCAAGGGATTTGTGCCTTACAGCGCCATGGTGAGTTAATAGATTTTACGTGAGTGAGTGAGTTTAGGTTTACGCCGCTTTTAGCAATATTCCAGTAATATCACGGCGGGGGATACCAGATTGCACGTTACACATTGTACCCGTGTGGGGAATCGAACCCGGGTATTCGGGTATGGGCGCCACACATTGTACCCATGTGGGAAATCGAATTCGGGTGTGGGCGTCACACATTGTACCCATGTGGGGAGTCGAACACGGGTCTTCGGGTATAAGCGACACACATTGTACCCATGTGGAAAATCGAACCCGGGTATTCGGGTATAAGCGACACACATTGTACCCATGTGGAAAATCGAACCCGGTCTTCGGGTATAGGCGTTACACATTGTACCCATGTGGGGAATCGAACCCGGGTTTTCGAACGCTTTAACCACTAAACTCCCCACAGCCCCTTATAGACTTTAGGATTACCCAGGCATATACTGATACGAAGAAGTAAAGGATCACAAGCACATATTGCCTCCATGAATGAAAGATTTGGTTTTAACGCCACTTTGAAAGGTACTTCAGTTATATCATGGCATGTCACCCTAATGGGTAAAACGGCCGAAATAATGCAGGTCTTTGACTTTTTCCGCTTTGGTGAAACCCACAAGCACTGGTATGTTGCTGACGAACCTCGAAACATGATCTGGACCAACCACCGATCATAGGCTTCTGATGTGCACAAGGGAGACAACTCTGGACCGCGACAAATTGCCTCAATACGTTTGTGTATTAAATGAATGGTGTTTAAACGCCGCAGAGAACAAAACAGAAAAGACGAGTTTGGATACTCAGAATCATACCAACTGATACTCTAGATTATGACCGTTCCCTTACTTTTTTCGATCAGCATACACTTTCCTATAGCCGAACACAGAACACTAGACCCCAAACTTGACAATGAAATTTGATATACCTGTTAAGGGTTCTGTAAGGGTATTGTTCTGATTTCAGCGGACGCTTGACAGTTATAAAGGAGAGCCCCTGTCAGCACACTATGCAGTGCAGGTCGGAATATGCGTGGACAAGAAATAGCAGAGGTCAATCAACTACCAGTTGCATCTCCATCTTGTTCGTGGTTTTAGGGTGGGGGTAGAAGGTACGAATCTGTCGACTCCCCAAAGTTGAAATAAAGAACCAAGTGCTTATATTTTTATTTTTTATTCCGACGACCAGAAATTAAAAGAAATGTGAAAAAGACCTAATTTACTGTCGCTACCAATGCATGATCATTGACAATACTTTAATTTAAATCCCTGTAAGATAAAAGTATTTAAAACACAACGAATTAAAACTGAAGTATTATTGGAGTTATAATTTGATTAGTATTTTGACCTTTGACCTGAATTTGGGAGCCAAAAACTATGATAAAAAACAAAAACGAAGTCTGAATGTTTACCGTAGTGGTTTTTTTTCTGTTTATGATAAACTAACGAATCTTTTGCATAAGTGCCAAATGTTTCTGGTATTCGGCCCCTGTCTCCTGAGACTGCAATATATGGCACCGACCTCTTCTTATTCCTCATTGCACCCGAAGACCCGACTTTCCAAAACTTGATCCTGCTTCTCAACCCTGTTCTAAGGCCACATAAAATATACGTCTTGTTTCTCATCTCGTGTGTCCTGTTTGCGGTCCTTACACTTTACAATATTTAAATGTCGTATGCACGCACGCACACGCACGCGCGCACACACATTAACCACGCGCATACATGTTCGTTTATTAAAACTTCTTTTCTGTTCTGTATGTTTGTCCTTATACCTATTGATTACAATACCATTTAGAAAGTGGTCAAAGTGGTATATTTGGGATTACACTTTCTCAGTAAAGTACTAAAATTCTAGTACTTTTTCGGGGTGATTCCCATCTGGCGCGTGGTGGCGTATGGTCCTGTGCTCAAAGCTCAGGTCACAAATCGGTGAAGTGAAGCAGCGTCGAGCTCGGAGAGTCCTTGGATGGGTGACCGTAGACTAAGGCTTAGTCTCTGAATATATATAATTTTGATAGTAACAAACAAGCCCATTTATATTGAAAAGGAGCCCTAGGGAGACCAGAGAACCTGGGGAAATCTAGACTTGCTTCGTTTAGGGCTTTAGCACTGCAGAGAGGCTTGGCAGTAGGGAAAATAATGTGGTTCAGGGACTGTGAGACAGACTAGGGTGACCGTGATTGGCAGCTTGACTCCTGAGAGTTTCTAGGACTTGAGTCCTGCCCCACAACGAAGCTCATGTGACACATGTGGTCTCACCTTAGGCAAGTGAGTTTGTTCAAAATTGTCTCTGTTCACCCAGCAGGAAAATGGGTACCCGGTGGAAAAAGTCATATGACTATAACCTTCTAGCGCAGCTTGGGTTATCCGGGGTAATAATGTGCTGTGCCTTGATTGTTAGCGCTATGAGCATACCTAGTGTGGAGTTTGGCGCTATATAAATGGACACATTATTATTATTATCTGAGGGTGTGGATTCGAATCCCGGATGGGACTCAACCCGAAAAAGTACTAGAATTTGTACTTTACTGAGAAAGTGTAATCCCAAATATAACATATGTTGCTTATACCTATTGTTTAAACTTTCCAGGACGTGATTTACCAAAATTTTATGACTCGATTGACTCTTGCTAAAAGGTGGTTTGATAAATGTTACAACATCGAAGGCTTCAGTAAAGACACTTATTTCCAAATATGACGCATCAGGGATAAGGAATTATGACCCATGCAATAGTCTGTTTTGACATACCAAATTTCCGTGATTTTCAAGCGAGCAACTGCCTTGCCTTTGCATGTGTTTGTGACGGGTTCCACCAGTGGGGCAGGATAGCTCTCCTTTCCACGGACACCTGGCGTCATTACTGTGAGTATGATGTAGTCGAAATCGTACAATCGACTGCGCTTTATCGGAAATTCCTTCTGACTACGGAAAGTGTTAGACTAACAACTAGTCTCTGAAATGAACATATTTTACTGAAAAAAGTTCATAGTAAAAAAAATATATATATAATGAAAAGGAGCCCTGAGACTTTCTTCATTTTCAGCTGAGCTGAAGCTGATGAAATCTAGACTTGCCACATTTTCTAGACTTGCGTGGGCTTTCTTGGATATATTTGCTTCAGGGTCTGTACGACAGACTAGGAAAGTGTCTGTCGCTAATATTTACAGATAAGTAAGTAACTATCTTTTATATGACAGTTGTATGTATCACATTCAGACCTAAAACACTGGAGTGTAGAATTAAAGCACAGAGGTGTGGCACAATAGTGAACTAAAGTGATGAGAAACAGCAGTATATTTTACTGTAGCCGAAAAACACATGTTTGAATGTCAGGGCCCACTCGCACAAAGCTACCCTTACACTAAGACCGTAGTCTGTGTTAGAGGATGGGAGTTAACATCATCGTAGCGCTAAGATCGTTTCGTGCAAGCGGGCCTTGCTTAATGGCAGGATTATCAGAAAATCCTGCATCACGAAAATAGGAACGTTTCCCTTTTTCCGTTGCAATTTCAACCGTTAGACTATTGTTATTTAGTAACTTCAGTCATTGACCGTTCACCGATATGTAAACTAAAGAACAAAAGAAACTACACATCTCAGTTGATTTTCACGTTTGATTTTCAGTTATCTGAATTTACGTCATATCCAGTCGATGACCCGTGCTGACTTTAAGTCAACTCTCAAAGAGTACTTCCTCATGGTCATGTTTTAAAACATATTATCTGATTTAAACGTTTGAAAATATTTTCGCATAATACATAACTGCTGGTGTGTATCTGCAACATCTTAAATTTGCATTCTTCGGCTCCACTTTGCCATATTTAAAACATGAAAGGGGTCAACTGGCTTCATGTTTTCCTCTTTAAGTGTACCATGTATCTTGACACAAAATTACCCAGCCACAGATTACTTTCTACAACTGTTGCAGGAATGAGTGATGATTAAAAAGACATAAATAACAAATTTTACAACTCTTTCGGTATTCACTTACATGACAAAAACCTTGGTTTACTTTCTTATAGTGGTGGTCCGATTAATTGAAATAATCGAAGATTGGTCGCAGTGACTAAACGACCAAGCAATCGATCATGTTTTCTCATAATCGAACACAAACAATTCTGGAACACTTTTTGCATTAACAATATATTTCACAAGGTTGGTTTTGTAAGTTACATTTCATAACCACTACAAGCTTGTTCCAAGTCATGATTAAATTTATCTTAAAGACTCATGGAATTTTATGTCCCTAACATACTAGTTAAGTAGTAATCCTTTCAAGATGTGAAATTTGCCACACAAAAAACCCAAAGAACTACATGTTTTTTCATTATGTTTTTTTTTTCATTAACAAAAAACAGGAAAATATATATATTTCATAAATGACGCTAACCAATTATATTCGATGATTGATCGGTTGTAATGAAGCAATCATCAATTATGAGGTTTTAACCAATTCCCAACACTACTTTCTTATAAAATGTCTTAAAATGGTAAACGTTTAGGAGCAACATCACCCTCAGCTTTCCTTCCACCTCAAATTGATTTACCGACATCCTTGGTCGGTGTCGTAACTAGTAACTTGTTACTTTCTTCGTTTCTTCAGTTTTCGTTCGGAATCAGCTTGAGCGTTTGTCTTTCTTTCCGGCAACTTACCTACAATGTCAATAAATATCAATACGCCCATCCAGCTCTACAGGATACTGATCGATATCCTGTAGACAGAGTTATTCGCATAAAAGGCAGTCGGGCATAAATGCCACTTTCTGTTATAACGAGGTGATTGTGGAGATCCGTTATAACCGTATCTTAAAAGGTTTGAGGTGGTTATGGTAGGAACAGTATGTTGTTATGGTCCCGTTTCCAAACATGTATCATGTGTTTGAATAAACTGATCAACACAACGTGATTCGTGTTCGTTTCAGGGAGTATTGTTTTACTCGCTTCTTTTGTTATTGCAACAATGGGATCACTTAAAGTGAGATTACATGTTTTATTCCTCGTCATCTTGTGTTAATGCATTGCTACGACTAGGTTATTTAAGAGTGAGTGAATGACGTTGTATTCCGCCTCTTGCAGTTTTCAGCAATAGTACGACTGAAGCCTCTGAAAGTGTCACCATTATTGCAGAGGATCTGCAATACACATCCCCTAGGGTTGGGACTTGAGCTGCCGGTGCCTCTGCCATTGGCATGAAGGAGGGTCTTGATGGTCTTGCTGCTGGTGAAGGTGACGTCTATGTTGGCTCCGTAACGTCACGTCGTTTTCCTCAAAACGTTGGCTCCCATAGTCTCGCCTATGACAAATCAGTGTTTATTTTTGGCAGCGACCAATGCTCTATGGTGAGTTGAGGTGAAATTGGGTTTAACGTCGTTCTTGAGAATATTTCGCTCATATGACGACGTGCCCACTGAGATACCATGCCGCAGTGAAGCATGAATACCCCATATTGTACTGACTCCGAGCCGACCAGTCCTTGTTGTACCCATTAATGCCGAGCGCCAGACAGGGACCAACAAGTACCATATTTTAACGTCTTTTGGTTTGCCGCGGTCGGGGATCGAACCCGCTCTAACCACTACACCACGGAGGCGGTCCAATGCTCTATGGTCACTACGTTCCATTTTAAACTCAACTTTTAAGGAACTGTATTTGGATGGATAGGACCTGTGCCTGAGAAGGATTAAGACATAATAAAAACAATGGAGAATTCATAGCTTCCGAGAACGATGTAATACGGTCTACACAGTTGCGTCCCTTTGGCATGCCCAAAACGTTCCGACCGAAGCCGGAACGCCCAGTCTGTGTTTCTAGGTTTCTCAGCATGTTGGTTGCCCCACAGTGGTAAACGTCTTAGACCTGCACATATCGGGCTTGTCTTCTACATGATACCGGCGTGACGTCAATACTTTCCAAAGCGACGTTAAATCTCACTCTCACTCAAACACTCACTCACTCACAGATTGAACATTCCATGCATCTCATATATAGACAAAAATAGCAAATATATTCTCCGAAACAAAAACATTTAAACGTGTTGGTTATGTTACGGTTTTAAGTTCAAAGACACCTTCGATCCAATGAACTCTGTATTTTTGTGTTACTGTGAACAGCACGCGTAACATATCGACTACACCCACAACCTCGTAATGTGTAAACATATTGTGGTTTGACGTGCTGCATCTACGAACAGCTTATTGGGAAACAAATAGTCAACGTCAACCAAATTATTGGAAACGTGACTTTATCCCTTTATTTCGATTTAAAACCTTTTCGAGACTATGTTAAGATAGAGTTGTACAGACACCCACGCTGGGCAGGTTGTTGGTGTTCGAAACTTGGGGAGGGGGAGGCGGAGGATGGGTAGCCTAGTGGTTAAAGCGTTCGCTCGTCACGCCGAAGACCCGGTTCGATTCCCCACAAGGGTACAATGTGTGAAGCCCATTTCTGGTGTCCCCCGTCGTGATATTGCTGGAATATTGCTAAAAGCGGCGTAAACCTAAACTCACTCACTCACTCGAAACATCTGACAATCGTGAATGAAAGTGTGGGTGTATTGGTGGATCGATTCCTTCCTACAATGTACAACACGACAAGTGTTGTGTATACGGCAAACAAAAAGTACTATCTGGAACGTGCTTTTCTTAAATAATCTCATTCTGATCTGGACTAGAAGTGGGCATAAGGCGAAATTTAAGACATTGAGTGAGCTTGATTTTACATCGTTTTTAACAATATTCCAACAGTTTCACGGCGTGGGACACCAGAAATCAACGTCACACATAATATGGTTTGTTGGTTGTTTAACCCCTGGATGCCCCGGGTTTTTTTCAGGCGCACATTTTCACACGGTTTGAAAAGTGAACGTTGTGCGAAATTTGCGCTCGCGTGGTCCTGGATCTGCGTACGGCTATAAAATTACACAGAAATGTAGAATATTAAATTTCCTATCCGTTGGTATAAATACACAAAATGTATAAGTGCAACTACCTCGGCGGTTTGAGAGATAGACCCTGTTAAATGTTGTCCAAATTTTTGTTATGGGTTACAAAAACAGTAAATTTATCCGCTTTTTATCGTGCACCGATAAAAGCACTGTGCTACGATTTTTAACTTTGGCATCTTTACGGAAAGTGTGAGCGAAGAAAATACAGCCTGATATCTGAACCACATAAGTGTATATGAATTGGGTTTGTGTGCTTATGCATAACGTTATAGGCTCAACATTAAAAATGACTCGCAATAAATGTCAAAAATGGATTTTCTTCTATGACGTCAAACGACGACAGAGAGGTCATACGTGTATAATAACGCCACACACAGCAATATTCCAGTTAAATTCCAGCGGCGGTCTGTAAATAATCGAGTCTGGACCAGACAATCCAGTGATCATGAGTCACTCATGAGGGGAATTGAACCCGAAACGTCGGTGTAAGGAGGAAATGCTTTAACCACTTGGCTACCCGACAGCCTTCAAAGAATATATGTTAGATACAGCAACACTTCTGGGGTTCCAACAGCTGGACCGATCCAAAAGTAACATGTTCACCTGAGAAAGGGGCGGCGGGGTAGCTTAGTGGTTAAAGCGTCGCTCCTCACGCCGAAGACCCGGGTTCGATTCCCCACATGGGTACAATGTGTGATGCCTATTTCTGGTGTCCCCTGTCGTGATAATGCTGGAATATTGCTAAAGGCGGCGTGAAACTAAACTCACTCACTCACCTGAGAAAACGGTTCTGACATCACATACATAACAGGACCCCCCTGACAGTCATCGATTGGAATTTGGTAGGTGTACGTTGCCTTCACAATGTTTTCCGTCCTTACGTTCCCCGCGGGGCGGTGAGTTAGCCCAGTGGTTAAAGCGTTCGCTCGTCGCGCCGAAGAGTTCGAGTTTGATACAATGTGTGAAGTCCATTTCTGGTGTCCCCCGTCGTGATATTGCTGAAATGTTGGAATTGCTCAAATCAAACAACCAAGATTGTGACAAGCGACTACAGAGATCTAGTTGTCTGGCTTATTGATTGTTAAAGCTTGCCATCGTATCCCAAATGTGTTCATCTATGCTCTTGATATTAACCATTGGTTTTCCGATCCAAATTCAGTTATTTTCAGACCGCCGACATATAATGGAACATTACGGAGTGTGGCGCTAAAACATCAAAACCGGACCTATCGAGTAGAAATTACCTAACTTTGATAAGATATTTGTGGTGCGCTTCACTCAATATGAACAATTTCTGGTGCAGAGTTGATCTTTCGATCACCACGCGATAGCATACAGCTTTTAGAAGAGGGCGGAAACAGCTTTGTGTGTGTGTGTGTGTGTGTGTGTGTGTGTGTGTGTACTATTGAGAACAGTGTGTGTGTGTGGTGTGTGTGTGTCATTTTTATCCGAGTTTCAATGGTCATTTAATAAACTTTCAGGACAAAGGGGGTGGGGTGGGGTGCGCAACCCTGCACCCCCCTTCTGGATCCGCCTATGAGCATACACGACAACCAATGAGAGCCACTTTATTTAAGAAATACAGTTCGCTCTACCACCATGTATAGTGTAATACAGCACACTTTCGCCCTGAACTAGTATAACGTTAAAGCACTCGGACGCAAGTTGAAAAAACCCCAGATAATTTACTGAAGGCCACAAGGGCCTGCAAATATTTGACTGACTGAGTTTGGTTTTACGCCGCTTTTAGCAATATTCCAGCAACATCACGGCGGGGGACACCAGAAATGGGCTTCACACATTGTGCCCATGTGGGATTCGAACCCGGGTCTTCGGCGTGACGAGCCAACGCTTTAACCATTAGGTTCACCCCACCGCCCCGCAAATATTTGAAACTGCCAGCCCGATACAATATCAACCGGCGCTGGGCCTCCGGGCGGGCGATTATTTCGAACGCTTACATCAACATCTACATCAAACTGTTATACCGACAAACTTGATCGGTGTCTTTAAACAACTATCAGGCCACTTGTAACTTGTAGGTGATAAACTCCGGGCATTAATAATCATACTCCTGTACTCATGAAGTATGAGGACTATTTTTATGGATATACAACTTCTTTATTCTATATAGGCGACGTTTCGACATAGATTCTAATGTCGTTGTCAAGCAAGAATCTCTGTCGAAACGTCGCCTATATAGAATAAAGAAGTTGTATATCCATAAAAAAAGTCCTCATTCTTCATCTACCCAACTTCTAGAATGCCAATCAAAGAAGTCTTGTACTCATGTCGAACTTGAAACTAAAAGATACGCTATGGTTACATGCACACAAGTTTTCCGGATTTTAAAGAAGCCAGCCCGATACTGTGCAGCACATTTCTACAATTCACTTTTGTACGACATTGCTATTTAAGATCTTTAAGTTGTCGTTTATAATAATTGCCCATGCTCACAAATTGTATGTGCTCTACACATCTTACACAAATGAAATAGGTGGGGTGGGGTAGCCCAGTGGTTAAAGCGTTCGCTCGTCACACCGAACACCCGGGTTCGATTCCCTACATTGGTAAAATGTGCGAAGCTCATTTCTGGTGTTCCCCGCCGTGATATTGCTGGAATATTGCTAAAAGCGACGCAAAATTAACTCACTCACACTCACTCCACAGAGGACATTACAGCTTCAGTTTACTCTAACTGCTTTTATGACAAATTGCTTGTTTTTCATATTTTTTTTTAATTTGGTGCTATGACTTTTCTGTATGAAAATAATGTTGTAATGAAGACATATGTAGTTAAAAACTCATTTGGACTTTGTAATTACAATGTGTATGTGTACAGACTTGGTCTCGTCGCTATACGACTCAATTATTGCCTATACGACGTAAACGTTTAACTCACTCACTTCAGAAACACGTTCAGAAGATTAACCAGGAAAAACCAAAATATTTATTCAACATGAAAGACAGAAGCACCAATAAAAGAATAAAATGTTGGCGTCATTAAGAAGCTACCGTAAAATATAGAGAGAATTTACATAATAATATATTCCCATTTCGGATTTACAGTTCAATACTTTAACAAAATCATCAGTGATGCTTTTAATAAAACCAACCTTCAAGACAACCTCGTGTTTACATAGCATTCCCCATACGTAGAAAATGAAATATTGTATGTAAGCCCAGTGACCATCCATTAGATCAGAGACTAGATCTACTTCGAAATATCTCAAATTCTACCAGACATTGTTGTACATTATGAGTCATTATTTCTACAACCATTTATGCGAAATAATTACTGGGCTGGAATCGCTGTTTCAATGACTCATTCCTTACGCATCGTTCCTTTGGGAATCCTATTCCACAAATACATGAAGTAGGCTTTTACATTTTTGAAACCACGTTTGGCGCATGTGTAGTGTTGACGAGTGATTGTCATATCCGGTTTGACGAATCGACAGTCTCGCAGTGAAATAAACAAAGTTTCTGCACATATTTTGGAGTCACTGCAGGTAACGAGCCTCATCGATATCTGTAAACAACTCACACTTGATAACATCATTGAATGATAATGACAGCAATGGTGTTTAAATTAGTATTTGATTGTATTTCATGGTGTTAGGGACAGTGCAGACGTCAAAAAAGCTCATGCAAATCAAAACATGTCGGAACGAAAACCCCTGCCATTTTGCGTGTTTGTGGTGGAAACGGCAAACGTTATACCAAATAGAAGACTCAGGATCACTGACACTTGGTGCTAGTTGATTCTTGGTGAATCCTTCATATCGTTGTTGTGCTTTTATTACGAAACAGACTTTCAAACTATCGTACTTGCAGGTAACGCGGAAACTGCAAATTGTTGCGCTGCCATCTGTAAACGTAGATATTATTATTGTTACATACCTACAATGTCATCTCCTTTTTGTCTATTAGCCTCCTTTTCAAATTCGACATTGCTTTGAATTTCACTTTATGAGTACTTGTGTTTAGGAATATCTTTATTGGTCACAAATTGTGATTGTAAATGAATTTCCACAAAATCCCTCGTGTTCATGATGTATACTTTGCTTTACTTTAATTTACTGGTTGGTGAAAAGCACACTATCATCACTGGAAATGAAAAAAGCGAAATTTTGTTTCCATTAGTTTAAAGTATATAGCTGTTCTTTGTGTTTTATTGTTACTAAGGAAGTTACTTGAGCATTTAGTTTTAGCAAACCATACGCAGATATTACAGAATAATAGAGAATATACACTGAGAATGTGTCTGTCATCTTGCCAACCATAATTTTATTAGGAAGGCTGCTTTGGTATAAACAGCAGACTGGCCAAGTAACAATGATGGATAAGTTACTCAGCTCTCAAATGTTCATACAACTTGTATTCTTTAATCTGGCATGTACACTGAATAGGGCTTCAACGAGTCCATTTTCTTGGACTCGAGTACTCGAGGGGTGAGACTCGACTCGGACCCGAGTACTCGAAATTCATACCTTTCAAAAAACGATAGCGTAACCGGCATGACATGTGTTCCGATCACACAAGTGAACACTTACTTCTTTCCGACTTCATATCGTCGTGTGACTAACATTTCCTATTGGTCAGAATCAGTATTTGGATGTTTACTTGCCAAATGTTTTTTTTCATCGTACTGGTTGTACTGCCTGCATAACGCAGTGATATACCGCACAGGCGGCATTTGGTTATTTTTCTCTTTTCACTATCCAGATCAAGACACGCCCATACATTTGATTTTTTATCGTTCTCCATGTCTGTTAAGATAGTTACCTAATCATTTTAAGAAGTGAAATCTCAAACGATGTATAATACTTACTCTCATCTGCAGACTTGTAACAACTAATACCATAGAGCCACACCGTATGAGGAGTAAACTACTTAATCTAGGCCTTAATAAAAACATTATCATATGGGTTAAAGAATTCAGGGTACATAGAACTCAGTATGTTAGTGTCAATGGCTATCAATCTTCTTTCCTCTCAACCCCTACTGGAGCTCCACAGGACTGTGTTCTTTCATCCGTACTCTTCGTTTTGTATACCAATGACTGTTACTTGTCATTAAATGACTTGTTTACTGTGAAATTAGCAGATGACGCCACTGTTACTGGCCTAATTTCTGATTCTGAACCATATTATCGTCAAGGCATTGACAAAACCGTAATAACAGTTTTTATCAAACCTTTATTCAAAGTGTGTTGACCTACAAGTTTCTATGTTGGTATGGGGCCTGTCTGATCGCAACAAAACAAACTTTTCAAAATTGTTAATACTGCCGGCAAAATTTCGAGTATATTCCCTTTATCTATGAGCGCCAGACTGTCAAAAAGGCAACTAAAATTAGATTTGATAGTTAAGATATTTTATCTCACCATTTTGAAGTACTTCTTTCTGGACGCTGCTGTCGATTACCTTCCCTCAAAACAAACAGAGCTCGACAGTCTTTCATACCATTAGTATTCCTGAATGCAACAAATATTTTGAATTATCACCATGTGATAACAACTAGAATTATTCAGCCTCTTTACCTATGTGGTTAATTGAATTATATCATGTCAGTTTTATTGTGTAAATAGCTTTCGTTTTGAGCATGTAATTATTGTGTATATTTTTGTTCAGACAGTTTGGATGTATAAGAATTTCCTCCGGGATAATAAAGTTATATCTTATCTTAATATTAGGCGTTAATGGCCGCTCATGCTCGGCACATGGCAGACAGTCTGTCAACGTAATCCAATAATTCGTCCTAGAAAATGGACTCGAGTCCAGCTAAACCCGACTCGTCCTCGAGTACTCGAGTACCCGTGGAAGCCCTTACACTGAACGTGCTGAAAGTGAAAACCTAATTCCACACAATTGCAGTATGTAAAGCGGTATCTGTGTACTTGGGTGATGGCATGTCTTTTTGATAAAGTTATCTTTTATAAGTTATTACAATCTTCTGCTGTCCATGTGATTAATCAAGGAAACCCCGAATGTTTCTAAAACATCTGAGGATATATTAGGATATGTATAATGAGCGCTTTTTATTACGATCCACACTGAATTTCGCTAGTTTACAATATGATTAACCTGTGTGCAACCACAGATTTGTTGATAGGCTGGGGGAACTTTGTTGTTTTTTAAGGGAGCCACAGATTACCTCACGGTTTGACTGAAACCGCTGTATCACAAAGGGGGTTATAGTGAGGGATGACTGTACCTTGATGCGATGTTGCTGACATGTTGATAAAAGCAGTCTAAAATTGTATCACACTTGTTGCACTTGTTATTGTTTTGTCAACAAGCATCAATGATAACTTTGATTTACAGTGATTCATACAGATACACTTTGCATTTCTGTATAGACCTTAACTGTGCTACATAATCATGATAGTAATTATTCAGTTCAGGCTTACAGATGTAACATAGTGTTTTCAAAAAATATTTTAATATGTTGAAGGCATGAATTCATGCCTGTGATTATCAATAGTTAATATTGAATGAACATGAGAAAGATTTTACAAACTATTAATGAGTCAGTGATCCTGCTTCCGACATTATAACATTTTATGATGTATTATCATGGCTATTATCATGATTATTACCATGGCTGTTGTTTCTTTTAGATTACCCAGAGCTGAACATGAATGTGGGTGTGGCTCACAGTGACGCTAATCCCACCCACTCATACCTAAACAGCAAGGGGATATGGATTACATACATCATCATCATCTTCACTGCTCACCTCCTCATCCTCAGTGTCCCTTTCTTCTCAGTCGCAGTGGCCTGGACACTCACAAATGTCCTTCATGATGTGGTAGGTTACAAATACTTGTAAACCTGCTTGACTTTAATTGTGATTTAAGCCTCAAATGTTAAAATTCATTATTGATATACACAGATGTGTACAGTAGTGTGTACATTGTATTTCCGGTTGAAGATATATTATGAATACACAATGCCATTTAGAAAGTGGTCAAATGTAACACATGCCGTGGTGGCTGAGTGGGTTAGGTGCCTGACTCTGAGGTTGTGGGTTCAAATCCTGGATGGGACTCAACCCAACCAAATTGCTAGAATCTGTACTTACTGAGAAAGTGTAATACCAAATATACCATGTGTTACCTGAGATATACTATATTCCAATTTGATTGGTTGCCTGATTGGTATCCTGAACACTGATTGTTCTATTTTCTTAAGATGTAAATGTTAAAATCTAACCATGCTTACATTAGATATTCTATTTTAAATTTCAATGAAGCATATTTGGAATTGGAACAAATTATCACTAAAATTAGTACAAAAGCTGTCAAAATTTCAAACTTGTTAGATATCATGAGTCTGAGTTAGAGTAAGGCAAAACATCCATTCATGTTTGTCTATAATTACGTTTGTAACGACCAGTAAGTTAGCAAATGAAATGAGTTAGTTTCTAACCCTGGAAGGGTCTGTCTTTCTTGCAGATAATGTTTGGTATCCTGCATGTGACGAAGGGCACACCGTGGGAAACACCTGACCAGGGAGATGCTCGGATGGAGACCCAGTGGGAGCAGATTGACTATGGAAAGCAGTTTACAGCAACTAAAAAATTTCTCACAATGGTTCCTATTGCATTGTAAGTACCTGTTCCATCAGATAAGAGTGGTGGGGTAGCCTAGTGGTGTGAGTGTTTGCTTGTCGTGCCAAAGACCCGGGTTCGATTCCCCACATGGGTACAATGTGTGAAGCCCATTTCTGGTGTCCCCTGTAAAGTAAGGATTAATTGTCCAAAGGAGTCTAAAATCATGGTGTTCAAAGTTCAGGCAAGAACAGTGCAGTTGCTGAGTGATAACGTGGCAGAATATGGATTTAGTTCTCTGTGTAATATCTAGGCACCCATTCCTCAATGTGATCTTACTGCTGTGATTTTTGAAAGGCCAGAGAGAGAGACAGCCACAAGTCTGAGACTGGTAACAAGTTAAACTAGTTGTTTTACGTCAATAGCTAGTACTTCACAAAACAACTTCTATAAGAGGCATTTGGAAAAGAGTTTGTTCATATATTCTTATCCTTACTGACTACTGAACAACTACCTAATCCACAAATGGCTGCAGACCAATTGTTTGTGAGTACGGTTTAACACTGCTTTTAGCAACATCACAGCAGGGAACACCAGAAATAGGCTTCATACATTGTACCCATGTGGGGAATCGAACCCGGGTCTTCAGCGTGACAAGCGAACGCTTTAACCCTTAGGCTACCCCACCAGGCCAGTTGTGTCTGTTTCGGATGTCAATAATGAGTATTGGAGTTAAATCATCTTAGCGCTAAGATCACTAAGCCCCAGGTATGCACACAATGAAACTATCTATATTATCATGATTACCATGTTTAATAAGATGTTGGAGATATCACATGATCTACACATAAACTGAAAGTATTTATGGTTCAGTAACAACATAGTCATTGTTTCTTTTTTATATTTATTTCAGATTTTTCTTGGCAAGTTTTTATACAAGGTACGACAGATATCATTTTATGATGAATGCAGCTTGCCTTGGACTCAGTATTATTCCCAAACTCCCAATGTTTCATGGGGTTCGCCTGTTCGGTATCAACAAATATTAGCTGAAGATATGACCATTTCCTACTTGACTGAGCCAACACTGATGCTATTCAAAGTTGTCATGGATACCACATGTACTCTATCTTCACATTTATGGTATTTTAGTTGCACTTGAGACCAGTATGGGCATTCACCCTGTGTGATATATTTTTTTAGCTCGTGGCTGTAAATGAAAGGAAGTGTCTGTTTCAGAATATTTATTACAACTTTGTGGGAGCCCTTTATACTTGTTTATGTTCTTGAGTCTGTTTAACATTCACTTGTGACTATTTGAGAAATTATTATCCAAAACCTTGCAGATATGGTGTTGTGTGTGAAGAAAACATGTGCTTTTGCTATGATCTGATGTGAGCTGCTCTCAAACATACAATGTTGCAGAAAACTCTTTCAAATATGCCGATGTGATGTTAAATTTTAACTCACTCACTCTTTCAAATAAGTCATTCACATTGAAGAAAATTAACCGAAAGTCTACCCGCCCAAATTGTGACATATGGGAACATTTCCAAAATGTTTAAAATTCGACTTGGACTTAGGGTACCTGTAACATTAGCAAAAATGGCTCATACTAGTGGGCTGGTGCTAATTTCTCTTCCTGATTGAACATTGGATTACAGATACAGCATGTACCCGGTAGTATGTCCCACCAACAAAGGGGTATATGGCTACAGATATTATTATCAATACAACTTGAAAATATCTACTAAACCTGAGTGACATTTCTGTATTGTTACTGTGACTCCTCTAATTTTACTATCGGTAATTGAGTTTTTGTGAAAATATGAAATGTGAAAGTCATGGACAAGAATCCTGAGGATGTATTCCACTATTTAGATTTTGTGAAAATTTAATCTCAAACCTAAACTTTTAATTTTTTTCTATTGTTATAATATTCTCTGGCATCATTCCTCTCTTTATATGTTGGTTGATATTTATGTTCAGCACAATGTCCTTTTCAGTTGATACGTCAATACTGGAATTGCCAAGTAATGGCAGCCCTTGTCCATCAATTTCATTTTACCATGAGAACCTTATGTATATGTGAGAAATATATATGCTTGAATGAAAAAGTGTTTGGAATGTTTGTTTTGTTGAAAATATAGTTACTTTAGCATCTTTATCAGCTTTTGATACAGGTCAGTCTTTGATCTGGAACGGACTGAACATCTTTTTTACTTACGTGTTTCAATCATGGTGAAGTTTTAATATGTTTCATATATCTGTAATTTGATTTCAATTTATCCTGTTTCTTCAGATTAATTGAAAAAAGGAATGATAATAATTAGTAAAGGTGAAGACTGAAATTGCCTGCAAAGTGATGTAAATGTATTTTGAAAGTCAAGCTGATTTTCAAAGCTTTTGAAATTGTCTTTCTTTTGAAATATATCTTTCATTACCATTATGAGTAAATGGTATACCACTCAGCATTGCCAAGGACTACATCTCTGACTAAGTTTGAGAGAATAATTCTCTGATTACAAATTTGTGAAGCTGTATTTGATGATGAGAGATAATTTCCTTGACCTGGTGCAGGGGTTCAAAAAAATGTTAAAAAGCAACTTGCCACAGGGCAAGTGACTTTAAGAAAGTAACTTGTCCTGACTAAATTTCCACTTGCCCTGATTTTATGACATAATCATGATGATGAAATTATGAAAGAATAAATCAACATGGTATTTGATGTTAATGTTTACTGGACTATTTATTGGAAAGTGATAAATAGCAAAGAAAGATAACTCTACTTTATTATCATTGTGAAATTCAATAGCTACATTTTGAGCAAATATGAAATTAAATCTAAGTTTATTTGCAGTTTGAAACCATAAGTGGAAATTATCTAGTAGCCCACGGACAAGTAAGATGCCATTATTTGATTGCCCGAAATGAAAACTGACTTGTCCCGGGCGTCGGCTTTGGGATATTTGAACCCCTGTGGTGGTTTGCCTGTAGTTCACAATGTCTGCAGTAAAGAAACACTGGATGTTTGGAATCAGTGGCCTTGTAACTTGATAAGTGAAATTTAAAAGAAAATTACCACATGTTATCAGCTTTCCACATATTATCTTAGGAATGTTACATTATCCTTGAAATTGAATTTCCATTTCAAATATTTAATGTGTTTGGGAAAAGTGTTATGTCTTGCAGGTATCATGTCAGGTTGCTGGCAAGGTTAGCATTAAATATTATATAGTTTAATATTTATTAATATTGTGCATTGACTTTTGCCCCATCCATCCTAGACTAACCAAAAATATCAGGCAGATATAGGGGGTGATGACATGATCAGTTATTTAGCGAAGTGACTATCATTACATTGTTGACCATCACACCTATTACACTTTAAATGTTTCCTCCGACCATCCTTTTCAAGAATGTTGAGGTCCATATCTTTACCTTTAGAACATATGGATGTAGAGATCTGTTGATACATCTCTGGTAAAACAAACGTAGATGTAGTTTCATGATGTGTTGTCTTAAATTGATTCTTTCCTGAAATGCTTGATGTAAGATCTTGAGGTCCCACACATATATTAAGAATTGTTCTTATTTCTGTTGTCAGGGTTGTTTTGAAATGAATTATCAAAACCATTTGAAATAAAAGTTAAAACAAAAACACAAACCATTAAGTTTTTATGTGTGTCAAATATTCACACATTGTGGGAGTCATGGCTCCCCCAGGTGTCTAAGGTATGTCCTCTGTGCTGAGTTGTGTCCCTTGGACATGCCAGGAACCTGTGAGAGTGGGTTCGAATCCCTATTCACTTTAATGATACTCCTAGGTTTTTCAGCACCCTGCCTATGATTGTGGCTTTCACTAAAGCGGAAAATGTCTTTAGATCCACATCCTATTAAACTTCACTTACCACATGAAGGTGTGGCACCATGATATCACTGATCGGTAGGGGTGGGGTGCCTAAGACCCGGGTTCGATTCACCACATGGGTTCAATGTGTGAAGCCCATTCTGGTGTCCCCTGCTGTGATATTGCTGGAATATTGCTAAATTGGCATAAAACAAAACATACTCTCTCACTGATATGCTAAACTTGCTCACTTTTATTGGCTTTACCTGAATTAATAATTTTCCTTTGCTCTTAAGTATATCATTATAATTTTGTTGTCTAAAGTCAGATCCACAATAATTAGGTTTGATTGTTGATGGTCCAGACTCATATAAGCACGTATTTTACAACATACAACAGGAAAAACTGTTACTCTGAAGGCCTCAACATTTATGCATTCTTGTATCAAAGGTATCAAAAATATGATCAGGAGACATATATAAGAAGTGAAAAATCCATAAATTTCTTTATACATGTAGAAAGAGTGTTGACAGAGATGGAGAATCTGTGATATGCTTGAGTATTTGAATGAATGGTTATATCAGCTGAATTACTCTTTGTTGTCCACGTCTATATGATAAAAGTAGAATGAGGAATTCAGAAAAAGTATTCTTAGGTATCCAGTTGTTGGTATTATTCTCTTATTTCTGTTTATGTTGATTTAGTTTTGTTGCAATTAGGCAATTTTCTGTAGAATCTGATAAAGCAAAATTGTTCTTAGGTATCCAGTAGTTGGTAATATGATCGTTTTTCTGTTTATCTTGAATTTGTTTTGTTGCAGTTAGGCAATTTTCTGTGGAATATGATACACCAAAGAGTGTGAAATCCTTGTTACTAAGTTTGTGTTTATTAATTATTGACTTGGCTTGCTTGTGTCACCTTTCGTTGCCATCTGTTTCTCCATCAGCCGTACATAGTGCACAACGGCCCACGATTTGGTTTATTTTGTCAGTGTTGTGTGTCACCTGAATCTCTTTGATTTGAACATCGCATATGGATCATGCTTCATTGTCCATCCTTTTTGTGTGTAGTGTTCAAAATTGACACCAGGCTAGCTATTCTCGAAACGTTCGTAGACCTACAAACTTCTTAAGCCCATTCTGAACACATTGGCTACAATCAAAATTAAGAATTCCAAGGGCTACGAATGTTTCGAGAATAAGGGCCCAGGGGTCCATGCTACCAGGAAGTTACATGGTCCTGAAATGTATGTCAAATATGCAAGTGTACAGGACGATTGCAGATAGACATTACTGCATCACAGGGGTGGATATAACCCATTGCCCGACGTCAGAGTCCAGTGTTTTTTTTCTGTCGGGCAAGCATATTCGTATATAACACTGTACCGGCGTCCAGTTGACATTCCAATGTTAATTGTGTTAAAATCAACAAGAACACGGCCGGTATAGTGGAAAAATGATCAGGGCAAGCGATTCACGTGCCACTGTACCGGAGTACACTGGCAATTATTAAGTTATTTCCACCCCTGCATCATTGACACACAGTAATATTCTTTGTACCAAATTCTTGACAAGAAATGTAGAAGGTTCTGTAATCAAAATAATGTACAAGTCTTACACTGTACAGTAAACCGTTTAATTATTCTGCAGAACCCCATTTTTCGTGCAAGGACAATGGGGAATAATTATTCAGCCTCCCTCATACTACTGGTGTAGTGAATCAAGTCAAAGGTTGCAGGGTAAAATATAATGGGGTCTCTTGGTTTAAATACTGGTGACACACCTGATCCTATCCCAATTGCGTAGATAGATGCTCATGCTGTTGATCACTGGATTGTCTGGTCCAGACTTGATTGTTTACAGACTGCCGCCATGTTGCTGGAATATTGCTGATTGTGGCTTTATATAAAACCAACCACAATCAAATACTGGTACTTCAAGAGCAAACCTCATTAACCCCAGACTTAGACTTTTAAAGGGGTGCTGGGTTAGCCTAGTGACTAAAGTGTTCGCTCATCATACGAAGACCTTGGTTTGATTCCCCATAAGGGTACAATGTGTGAAGCCCATTTCTGGTGCCCCGTCATGATATTGCTGGAATATTGCTAAATCCAGCGTATAACTTCATTCACTCGCTCACTTAGTTTCAAACACTGCTGTTTGTCGTTAGTAAATGTATTGGCATCAGACAAATGTTTTTCTTCTCTTTGTTTTGGTGATTGCTGGCAGACTATAATATAGCATTGTTAGAGTTCAATCAGCAGTGATTGTATATGAAGAATCCCAGAAACTTCTGAGCCTTCTTCTTCCACAGAATTGTGATTTACTGCCTCTGTTCTTCCCTGCTGTATATGGTGATGTTCTTTCTAATGGGTGATACGGCAATGCTGGCTTGTGTAGTTATCATTGTTATCAAGCCAAACTGTTTACAGAATTATTGTAGGCTTTTAATGTATTGTATCAACTAGGGGTGAAACGGTATGCTCTTACCCGATATGGTATATATTGCATTACAAGGATTCGGTTTTGTCCGTTTCGTTCCGGTATATGAGATATGATAATAATGCAGAAAAGAAACTCATAGATTTTGATTTGATTTCTAGACATTTTAGAAAAGGTTTAAAAAGGTTGATAAAATGACAGTACAAAAACCGAAAATACTGATTTTTTGGATTGCATTATGGTATACCGAACCGAAGGCAAAATACCACGGTATACCATTTCACCCTAGTATTAACAGGACGAGGGACAGTGGGTTAGCCTGGTGGTAAAAGTGTTTGTTCATCACACCTAAAACACAAGTTCAATTCCTACAGGAGTGCAATGTTTAGAAGAAAAATCATTTCCGGTGTCCTGCGCTGTGATATTGGTGAAATAATGCTAAATGCAGTAAAATCTATACTCACTCAGTCATCAAGTGTAAATTTGTGATCATACATTTGTGAATTGTGACACCCCTGATCTGTATACATGGTATAGGTGAAGCCTGTCTACTTGCTAGCCCTAACTTTACATTGTTCGTGGACAAAAATCAAAACAGCTTATGGATAATTAGTTCATAATAATTAAACATGAGTGACGAGCAGCGAATCCTTTTTAAACCTAATGGTCACATTCCTGATGAAATCACCCAAATCAACGAATCTTTGTTATGGAGTAAATGTTCCTTTTATATATTTGTTTGAACAAAGCAGTGGAGTTTCGGAACTAAGATAGCTTCATTGTACAGACATTTGGAAGCTCGGTATACTTGAAATGAATGT